AGGCTCAGGAGTGGCTTGGCTGCCAGGTTGAGGCTGGAGACATGGAGGTGGGGGGCAGCTGGGGGGGCAGCTGCAGCTGGCTGGGGTAGGGGGAGGATGGGTGCTGCCTCAGGTCCCACCTGCCTGGGGCTCAGCTCTGGAGCCACTGTGATAGTGGATGCCCAGATCACCCAGGTGACAGAGGAGGACATTTACTCTGAACGTGCTGGATGGCCCTTCTTAAGATAGTCACTCAGAAGGCCACCTGGAGCATGACCTGGGAGACCTGCCACAGAGTGAGTCCCTGTCCCCTCAGGCCTGGCCTCTCCGCTCTCAGGTCAGGAGGGGAGGTGCAGGCTGGACAGTGTGGACTGCCCCGTCACCATGGAGCTGCTCTCCTGTGCCGTGTTCCGCAGTTCTGTTGGAAGGCGAGATCCTACGGGGGCCACCAGGCAGGGGAGAGTGGGCGGCTGGGAGGGTGGTCCCGAGGAACCCGGGTGGGCTGGTGAGGAGGTGCAGTGCTCCTGCAGGCCTGGCTGGCCGCGCAGGCCGAGCTTTTTCCTACTGCTCTGAGAGGAGGAGGACGACGCTGACCCCGGGTCCCCCAGCAGACGGCAGGACAAGGCAAAGGGGGACTGGGGCGGGGGTGAGCCCTGGAGCGACGGGAGCAAGGGCCGTGGAGATGCCCGGAGCCCCCCGAGCACGAGGTAGGGTTTGGGCAACAGGCTGCACAGGACGGCCTGCGGGGTCACCACGGGCCTGGCTGCAGAGTCTGTGTCCAGGGCAGTCGGCCTGAAATGCCAGCCGACGAAGCCCCGGGGATTTTGGCCCCGCTCACACCGAGTCTCCCCACTCAGGGGAGAGAGGTCTCTAAAATCACAGCTCTTAGCATGGACTTTGAAATCACACTTAGCTCACCCCAGGATTCGGATTTGTAGACTTTCCTTTCTGGACTTGTCCTGGATCCAGGCAAGGAGCTGGCCTAGAGGGGTCCCACTCTGGTCCGCAGACTGCCCAGGCCCTGCAGAGGCTTACCCCTTGCTCCTCCTGGTAGGGTAAGTCCTCTGCAGCGGGGGACAAGCCCTTTTGCCTTACCTTGGGGAGCTCAGTTCTGAAGGAAGAGGGGAGCCTGCCCCCACTCTCCCTGCCGGAGTTCTGGAAGCTCAGACGCGAGTCCCTGGAGCCTGTAGCCAGACAGCTCTCGCCTCACTCTCTGCTCATTTCCCGCCTCTGCCCAGCAGCAGCTGTTCACCCCCCACCGCTACAGCCTGCTAGTGTCCCATGCCTAGCAGTGGCCGGTGCAAGTGTCCCTCTGCCCAGTGGGTCTGCCCAAGGGCCACTGCTTTCTTCTCTAAGTGAACCAACCCTAGCTCTGGACGGCCTCCAGTCCCTTAAACCAGACTCTGAGGTAAGGCCGTCATCTCAAGGTTTGGGGGGAGATGAGGGGGACAGGAGAGGTGGGGAAGCAGGGGTCAGTGTAAAGGCACCATCAAGAGGGGCAGCAGTGTGGGCAGCAGAGCTCAGTCCTGTGGGGGCTGCTGGGAGTCAGCGCAGGTGCATCCAGTGTAGACAAGCTGGGACATTTATACACTTCTGTTATCGCTGAGATCTACCCCAGACATGGTCAGGAGACCCTCTGGTGGCTAGGAGCCATTGCATGGCAGGTGTTGGCCTCTGGCAGAGTGGGGTGAATGCTGAGGGGATGGGCAGGTGTACCGTGTCTCCAGAGACCTGTTTTTCCACCCCATCCAGCCAGGTTGATGGTCCCTTCTGGTCTGGTGGCTTCTGCAGTGTAGCCACTAGCCCAGTGTCCTCTTGTGCAAGTTTGTGCTTGGTGCTCTCTGAGTGGACACAGACCTGGCCTGAGGCAGGGTGAGGGACTCTTGACGAGCACCGCTTCTGCTCTCAGCCAGGGACGATCCGTACAGAAGGCCCTGCCTCTGCCTGGGCAGACCCTGTGGGGAGGTGTGTCCTGGGGCACCTGTGACTCCTTCTCTGAGGGATCAAGGACCTTCCCTTGGCTTGGCTTGGGTCCCCATGACTCTGGGAGTCACAGAACTCTTTCTGCTTCTTCTTCTCCCTACCTGGGGCTTTGGAGCACAAACCTGGAAGGCAAACTCTTGGTAGCCACAGGCTTCTCCGTTTTCCTCTCTGAGCTTCCTTTGAATCAGCTTCCTGTGTGCAGCAGGAAGGAGGAGACACCCAGGGAGGAGGAGATGCTGTGTGCATGCCCGTTGGCCCCGGCAGACTGAGCAGTCTCCATGCCCAGTCTCGCCTCACACCTTGGCAGGCGCTTGCCAAGCCGGGCGAGGTCCTGTTCCTCCCTAGCGCCAAGCCAACAGCTCCTGAAGCTGGCTCTGTGTCTTGCTCTTCTGCAGACAGACCTGAGGCTCAGAAAGGACAGGCGGCTGTCTGCTGTTAGTCTCTGATAAGAGGCAGAGTGAGGAGGGGTGCAGGCCCGGTCCCAGAGCCCCTGGAGTAGGAGGGTGCAGCATCCGTTGGCTCACACCCTGCATGCTGACGCGCTGTGGTTCTGAATCTGGCACCGTGGGCCGTGTCCGTGTTGGGGTGGGCTGCTGTGTCTGCACTTTGCCCATCTGTGGTCCCAGGGTTCTCTCCCACTGCTGGGTAGGGTCCCTCCGTGTTTATGTGCCACGGTCTGTTTAAATCTCTTCTCCTGTAGCTAGACACTTGGGCCATTCCAGTGTGGGGCTGTTGGAAGAAAGCTGCTGGGGGTAGTTTCGGTTCCGGTTTGGGTGAACATAAGCCCTCACCTGTCTTGCATGTTCACCATGGATGCACACGTTTAGGATTTACAAACAGGGCCATTTTGCCAGGGTGGCTGTATTCACTTCATGAACCAAGTACACAGGTTCCAGCTGCCACATCCGTGACAGAACTAGGATCTTTGGTCCTTTTAATATTAGCTGTTTTTGGGTGAATGGGGTCAGTGATGACTTATTATTTACACGAAAGGTGTAAGAGTGGCCTGTGGTGAGGACCAGAGCTTCCAGGGATGCATGAGCCTGAATCTATGCCTTGCTGGGCGACAGTGACGTTTCAATGGGCCCAGGAATGTGAGAAACCCACTCCCCTGCCCACACCCAGATAATGGACCTGGAGACACAAGGTACAGTGGAAGAGAGACTTTAATGATGGTCTTGCAAGTTGGTTACCCAAACAATTCATTCCCGAGACTCGGTTCCTCCCCAGGTTCCTCATAGGCTGAGTACTGCGGGGTTACAATCTTCCTGAATGTGCCTAAATTTCCTTATGAGCTCATTCCCTTTTAGTTGGCCCCTGAACAATCCAATCTAGATGTATCTCTCTGAAAAAGGGTGTGTGGGGGCTGACTTTGGACTTGTCAAGCCTGGGTGTACCAAGGCCGCACCAAGGTGGGGGCTCATCCTGAAGTCTGCTGGTGCAAGGCAAGGACATGCGGACAGCTCACTGGGGTTTCGCTCTCTGCAGTTGTCACGTTAGTGAGCTGTTGTGCAAACTGGCTTCCAGTGACCCTCCATCACAAGCTGAGCCATGTGCACCCTTTAAACTAAATATCTTGCTTTGAAAGTAGACCACCAAGTGGCTGAGATTGTGGCTCAGCGGTAGAGCGCTCACCTAGCATGCGCGGGGCCCTGGGTTTGATCCTCAGCACCACATACAAATAAATGAATGGAATAAAGGTATTGCGTCCAACTACAACTAAAAAAATAAATATTTTTTTTAAAAAAGAAAGTAGGCCATCAAATATTTTATTCCTCACAGGAGGAAAACAGATATAGCAGAGAAGCCATGTACCCAGACACATTGGGGTGACAGCTGAAATTTTCAGCAGGAAGAGTACCGCCCAGGCAGTATCAGTGCTGCCCGGGGAGCGCGAGGCTAGAAGCTCATTTTGTTGTTTTTCCAGAGACTGAACCCAGGGGCACTTGACCACTGGGTCACACCCCCAACCCTTTTTACCTTTTGAGACAGGGTCTCACTAAGTTGCTTAGGGCTTTGCTAAGTTGCTGAGGCTGGTCTCAAACTTTTGATCCTCCTGCCTCAACCTCCCCAGTGGCTGAGATTGCAGAGGTGCCTTACCACACCCAGCGTGGGTCATGATCTTAATGGTCATACAATGAAGCCCAGAAATCTGAGAAGTTCCTGCAAGTATCCTGCTTGTTCTTTGGCAGGAGCAGTGCAGGGGGTAGCTCCTTACAGCTATACTTGCTCATGACCCTTTGGGCAACCAAGATAATTTGAGTATTATAACCAGCCTGAAAATATCTCAAAAGTGAGGAAAGATCTAACCATTTGCAAGAAATACAAATTGGAGTTCAAGATAACTTAAGGAACACAACTGGAGAGGCAGAAGGCATCGGGTTTTACAGAAATATTGGACACACTCCTGTCTCTGTTTCAGCAACCACTCAAGCCACACACCTGAGAGTGAGGGTGCAGGTGGGAGACCAGGGACAGGAAAGCAGGCCAGAGGACCCCAGTTTCCAAGAGCGTCCAGTCTCTGAAGGACAGCTGCCAAATCTCAGCCTTCAAACCCAGGGTGCTCAGTAGACATTTATCTAACAGCCATGGTTTCTGGTTTCTGGCCATCCTAGGGTTGCCAGATTCAGCACGGAACACGCGGCACCCAGCCGTACTGGAGTTTCAGGCCACACATCTAAGGGTCACACTGTCCCGGAAGCTGTCCTGGGGCTGCGTGTGTAGCCCTGCCAGCCGCTGCAACCTCCCTCTCTCCTTGCAGGGGACAGAGACCCCTGCTGGGGCGCCCCGTGGGCGCACGAGCTCGCACGTCAGATAGGGTGAGTGGGCTCCCCCGGAGCGCGGGCGGTGGGCTTCCGATCGATGTCCACGCAGGCCAGACCAGGCCAGGGAGGCATACGGCTCGAGAGGACCGCGCTCCGCGCTCCCTGGCCCTGTCCGCACTGCCCTGCCGCGAGAGCCAATCAGCCGCCAGCTGGGCGCGCGTGCGCCAGGGCGCGGGCCCATTTGCAGGTGGGAGCGGTTGGAAGCGGGCGCAGTGGGGGCAGCGGGGCGCTTCACCGTGAGGCTTGCGCCACGGCCGCGCTGCGCCCCATGCACTCGCCAGGGCGCGTCATGACGGGGCGAGGGCCCTCGCTTGGCCACCCGAGGCCACGCCCGTGACTGCCCCCCCCCCCCGGGCACACGGGGCGGACATCTCACGGCACTGGAAGTGTCCATAAAGCCTTCCGGGGCGGCTGAATTTAGCTGTGCACCCGGGCCCTACCCTGGTCTCCCAGCTTCGCTCTCTGGACGGCCTCCCTCACTACGCAAAGTGACCCGCAAGACCTGGAGCGTCCTCGTGGTCAGAGGCGCACCGCGGGGAAGCAGTGTCCTACGGCTCCCGGCCAGTCCGGCGCACGGCCCGATGGAGGCTCACGGGGCAGACGGGAGTGGTGACGCCATTCTGAGCCCATCTCCAGGGCTACCTTCCAGGCCGGAGCGGTGGGTTTGGCCCACCTGGACTACGTGGCTGACAGGGCAAGGCCCAAGGAAAGAGCAGAGCTGGCCTCACAGAAGGGCGTGGGTGGCGCAGGGCAGCCCTCCACTGTCTGGGAGCATTAGCTGGGGCAGTGGAGCTCAGTGACCTGAAGCTGCTACTGTAAATGAAACAGCAATTATAGGGTCCTTCCATTAGTGACCAAACATGGAAACATGGTTTCCACCATCCGGCTGTGAGGGACACTGCGCTTGGCTTTGTGCTGGGTTTACACCTGCTGGAGACCCCATCTGACCAGCTTTTGCACTGGAGTGTGCTCACTGTGGAGGAGGGCACCTCGATGTCCCTCAGCGCCCAGCCAGCCTGGGGTGTCTGATAAGGAGGGCCCTAGGTGGGGCAGGCGGTGAGTGGCAGCCCCATTTTGGAAAGTTCTCCAGAGTTGAAACACTGGTCTTTCCTGCCCAGCTGGGCGCAAGGTTAGCTGAGAGCCTTGAAGCAGGTTGGCTGGGGGTGCTGGTTCCCCCAGCGTCGCCCCACACTTCCTCAGCTCCGAGCACGGGGCTCGTGGGACCCACACCCTCTCCCAGCACCTGGCCCCGGCTTACACAGAGCCTCCCTGCTCTTCTTTTCTAGGAAGAGCACATTTCAGACCTTGAGGAGAGAAGTGCACTCCCCAGGTGGTTCGGTGAGGGAACCAGCCCGTGCTGCTTTGCCCGACCCTGTGGGGTGGGAGAGTGAGGGCGGGAGTCCAGGCTGCATCGTGACAGGGCAGTGTGCGGTTGTGGGCCATCCGAGACCCTCCCACCGTCCCTCCCCAGGCCCTCACGCTCCTCGCTGTGTCCAGAAGCCCAGGAGCACTAGAGGCCCCGGTGGCCTGCTCCAGGCCCTGACTTCTTACCTACCCTTTCCTTCCCCTGGAGAGGGCAGAGCCCTGCGTGGAGTGACACAGAGGAACCCCAGGAGCAGCCAGCCGCCTCGTCCTCTGGGGGTGGACTCTGCTGTCTTTGGGGGGCTCCCCGAGCATGCAGCCTGCCTCTGTCAGAGGAGTCATAGTAGGGGGGCGCCTGCCCTGTCCCCTCCCCACTCTGCTGGCCCTGACCACTGGTCCAGGCAGGGCCCCAGCTCATGTTGCCACGTCCCTCATCCCTCCTTGCCTGCCTCTTGCTCAGATGTGCCTGGGCCACTGCAGTCTCCCCCAGGAGCCCGTCTGCTGTGAGTGCCAGGTCAAGTTCCAGGGCCACTGGCCTGTGCCCAGGGCTGAGGCAGCACTGCCGTACTGGGTCCCTCTGTCCCTGAGACCTCAAAAGCAGGTAGGTGGCTGTCAGGGTCTTCACCTGGGCCCGGGTGACTGTCAGGGGTCTCACCTCCTTGGGATTATAAGCATTGTATGAATGACACTTTTGTGTGTGGCTCTTTTTTCTTTTTTTTTTGGTACGAGGGATTGAACCCAGGTGCACTTAACCGCTGAGCCACACCCCCAGCCCTTTATATTTTGAGACAGGGCCTCGCTAAGTTGCTGAATCTGGCTTTGAACGAGTGGTCCTCGTGCCTCAGCTTCTTGAGTTGCTGGGTTACACATGGGTGTCATGGTGCCTGGCTGAGTTGTGTGTCCTAAACAGATTTTTCTTTCTTTGGTACCGGGAATTGAACTCAGGGGCACTAGACTCCTGAGTCACATCTCAGCCCTATTTTGTATTGTGTTAGAGACAGGATCTCACTGAGTTGCTTAGGGCCTCATTAAATTGCTGAGGCTGGCTTTGAACTCACGATCCTCCTGCCTCAGCCTCTAGAGTCACTGGGATCACAGGCGTGGGCCACTGCACCCGGCCTGTTTTAAACAGATTTTTAAAGCACTGTTTCTGTGGGTGTATGGGTGACGTGGATAAGCTGCCTGTGTGTGCAGTGTGTCAGCCTTGACACGTACGTCCCCAGCAGAACTGCGGCAGGTCGCGGCAGCAGCTCGTGCGCAGCCCCGGGAGACCGCCTAGAGCAGTGTGTGTCTGCCGGACGGTCCAGGAGCCCCAGGCCCCAGGCAGCTGCTGACGTGCTTGTCCGGTGGCTGGTCTGTGTTTCCGAGGCTTTTATGTGACTGAAGTGTGCCCAGGCTGCCTTCGCAGAGTCCGGTGTCGTCACTGTGGGGCTCCGCCATGTGGCGTGTGCGTGGGTGGCACTGTCACTGCCGAGTGGCGCTCCTCCGTGTGGAGCGACCACGCTCCTATGGAAGGATGTCCAGCTGTTTGCACGTTTGCTCTGCCACAGGCAAAGCCGCTGTGGCCTTCGTGCTGAGTCTTTAGGAGGACGATGCTTCCGCTCTTCTGGGGTAAAGGCTTAGTCGTAGGGCGGCTGGATCGGAAGGTGGTGTGCGATGACTTATTTCCAGTGCCGGGGTGAGCCCAGGGCTGGCCTGTGCTGCCCTCTCCACGGGCTGTCCCTGCTCGGCGCTCCACCTCCTTTTTAGACGGCGGTGCAGGGCCCAGGTCCTTTGCCTTCTCAGTCACCAGCACTTTTTAATTTTCATGATGTTTTCCCTTTTTGTGGTACTGGAGGTTGAGCCCGGAGCTGTGAGTGTGCTGTGTCACCAGGCCCAGTCTGTCCCTTTACCAGGTGTGGGTGGCCTGCAGTTCAGACTTGTGTTCTGTGAGGACTGAGCCTATCAAAGATCTCTCCATCTACCCCCTCTTTTGGCGGCACCGGGGATTGAACCAGGGCCTGGCGCACAGCAGGCAGAGGCTCTCCCGGGAGCCTGTCCCCACCCCGGCCACACGCCTTCACCATCTGCGTGTCGTCCTTGGCAGTGTCTGTGCAGATACTTTGTTGGTTTAAACGAAGGGATTGTGGCTTCCTTCTTAGTTTTCAGAGCTCTTTATTTATTGTGGCTCCAAGTCCCTTGTCAGCTGTGTGTGACCGTCTCTCCACGTCTTTGGCTTGTCTTCTGATTCTCCTGTCGGTGGCTTTCAAAGTGAGGCGCTGTAGGTTGTGCTGAAGCCCAGCTCAGGAGCTTGGTGCCCACCTGGCCCCTTGAGAAAGGGCACTTTGTGCTGTGGCGAGACCAGGCTCCCCTGATGGAGGGGGAAGCGTGTGATGCTTGTGTGGCAGTCCACAGCCTTCCACAGTGGCGTCCGCTGGTGTCCATGTGCACAGGTCTCAGTGGGCATGGGCAGTCCGTCCCCCTGCACTTACCCAGCACCCTCTGACTGGACTCACTGACACTTTCTGGGGACGTCGTCTTAGCCCAGAATGTTTTCCCAACTCAGTCCATTTTCTTATTCTCTCCTGTTGGACAGTGCTGGGCCGTGCTGGGCCGTGCTGGGCCGTGCTGGGCAGTACTGGGCCGTGCTGG